CACTCACTGAGGAGGAGGCTGGTGAATCGCAGGAGCCAGGAGGCCCCACACAGGTGGGGGTCTTCTGAGCAGGCGCCCATGGCCGGCCGCCTCCCTGCTGACCCCGCCTGGGCCTGTGAGGTTGCACAGGAAACACCAGAGCGCAGAGTCTAGAAAAGAGGAAAAGCATCACTCAGAAGAGCTCTTAGGCTCCTCCCCCCCCCCAGAGCAGGGCTCGCTGTTCGTTCTGGACCTCACCATCCGCCTCAAGAAGCCCACTCTGATCTCTCATGTTAGCTCAGCACCCGCAGGGGCCTCAGGAGATAACTGTAGAGTAAATGCGGGAACAGGCCCCCTCTAGGAGGCCCGGTGCCGGAGATACCCCGTCCCTGTGCTCACAACCAGCCTGGTGGTCTCCCTTCCCCAGCCCGCAACCCTAGGACCCCTGTCCTCTGTCCCTGGGCTCCCACTCAGCCCGGGACACCCTGCTGGCCAGTGTCAGCCGATGGCCAGGCACAGAGTCCCCTCCTAGAGCCAAGTACACAGTGTCACCCCACATCCCAATGCACACACAGGCACTAATGGTCCCTAGGGCTCTGTCTGCAGCCTAGGGCGTGCCTTGCCCCCTCCCCCACAGGACCAATCCCACCCCCACAGGAGAGGCCCCACAGCCCCCCTTCCCTGCGAGGCTCTTCCAGGCCTGGGCCAGGCTCACACACAGGCAGGGCTGGAGAGGGACACGCGCCTCTGCCCACAGGCTGTGGCCTCAGACTCCCAGCCATGTAAAGAGGGTCAGGCCAGGCCCCCTCTTCCCAGGTGGGTTCCCATAATGTCAAGAACCCTGGTCTCCTGTGGGCCCTAGAAGAGCAGCTCCATCACTAACCCCCGGCCTGTGCCCCTTTTCCCACCCACTGGGCTCTCCCTTAGCTGCTCAGACCCTCAGATCCTCTGGCTGGATCCCCAGGACTGACCCGGGCCCCGCACTCTAGGTGGTCAGCCTGTTGGCTGTTGAACCCATTTTATGGATGTGAGACCCGAATCCTAAGAGTTTGGTCCTCCTGCCAGAGGTCACCCAGCAGAGCAAGTCAGGGTTTTGACTCCCAACAAGCAACTCTGAGAAATCCCGCATCACCGCCACTGTCCCATCCCAGTGTGTGGCCCCCGCGATCACCGCATCCAATCTGGGCTCTCCTGGAACTGCTCTGTGCCCCTCAGACCAGAGAGCCCTCGGCACTGCCTTGTTCCCCCGCTCCCACCCAGTGATGGGAGATCCCTTCCACAGGCCGTCCCTGAGCCTTGTGGGCAGAGACTCCTCAGATAGAGTCCAGATCTGGGCAGCTCGTCCCCTGGTCCCTTCAGGGTGACGGGGACCAAGTCGGCTGTGCCCCTGTCCCATTGCTCCAGCCCTGGGTGAGCCCTCTCAGGTGAGAACTCTTTGCTTGTACAAACCCCACCTTCGGGTGGGGCACAGGGCCCAGGAGGGAGCCCCCAGCAGCTGCAGGCCGGGACCCCGGAGGGTCAGCCTACACACACTCCATGCTGGGGCAGCCCCGGGACTTTCAACACCTGCAGACACTGATCTCTGTCCCCTCCCACTACCCTGTGCAACAAGACAGCCCAGGTCACCAGTCCTCTGTGTGTCCAGGTCTCTGTGGTTCCCAAGCTCATTCCCTGTGAGGGACAGTGGGGCTCAGGGTTACCGTCCATGTCACAGATGAGCAAAGTCAGGACCCGTAGGTGATCTGAAGAGTCCCCGGTCTGGACACCGGGATGGGGCAGAGCCAGGCCCAGGTCGCAGACCTCCTAGGCCACTGGTGTTTCCAGAATCAAGTTCGTGGCAGACCTTGAGAAGCCACACTGAGTGGGAGGGAGGCCAGGCCTGACCCAGGGCAGCCTCTCTCCCATCTCATACCCACAAGCAGAGGACATAAGCCTGTGGTGGCATCTCTGCAGCCTCTGGGGTCCACAGCTGTCCTTTGCCAACCACAGCCGCCCCCTGCACTGGCTGAGTCACACTCAAACCAACACCTTTAGCCCAGCTCACAGTGGGAGTGGCTTCTCCCACACTCAGATTCTTCTAGAAACTATCATCCCACCTGGACACAGTTCCCTGGTGGGCAGAGAGCTCACGACCCCCAGCCCCAGGTCACTAGTGGTCCGTGTGGTTCCCGTGGTGCTCTGCTGTGCAGGAGAAAGATCGGGAGGGAAGCCATGGTATGGGGAGTACCTCGCTCTGCAGGGAATGGTGGGGAGGGAATCTGTGCAGGGGAGGCGGGGGTCTGCAGCCCCATGGTGGGAGGGCGGCATGGCAGCTTCCAGAAAAGAAGGCTCCGGAACCTGGCATCTGAGCTCTGACCACACAGCTCTTGGGAGCCTCTGATGGCTGCCCAGCTCTGGCCAGAGACAGGCCTCCCCCAGATGCTGGTGCCCCTGCGTGCACCCCACCTCCCCAGCTAGTATAATCATCCCAGTCTGCACCCCACAGGACGGGGGCGGTCTGGTCAGGAGGACACGCTCTCAGGAAGAAGCTGGATCTTTATGGAGAACTGGGAGCTTGTTCCAAACCCCGTAACAGGAGAACACTGAGAACCTGATGGGCAGGAGAAGGCCACGGGCCCCACTCACCCCACAGTCACAAGAAACCAAGGCTAGTCCTTCTGGGCCTCATCCAGCCAGCTCATGATGGA